AGATTAACACCATGAGGAATATTTCAACTGAGATGTGAAAATATATTCCATAGCTATCTGCTGGCTGCGTGTTAAACAGCCAGCCGGACCTCTGACTTTTTTTTTTTTTCTTTTTTAGAAGGGATGTTTTAAAAGAGTCTGGTAAATTCGGGCTACAGTTTACTGATAGCTAAGGAAGATCTTAAAGTATGTTAAGGGACTTAAAGAGTCGAACCTATGTAATGACTGCATTGCAAAGCGTCTTGCCTGAGTCAGTACTGCAGGATCAGCCCTCCAAAGCTTTGCTGTGAAGCAGTCGGCTGAGAAATGTTGGGCCTGATCCTGACGGCACCATTACACTCCCTGTTCCTTTCCTTCATTAGCTCTGTTTTCTCAGAGCGGGTTCCTGAGAGGCTTCATGGCAGAACCTTTCTTTCACTGTTGCTGTTATGATACAGCACAGTGCCCAACATTGTTTTCTTGGCTGGGATGCTTTTTACTTGCAGGCAGTTATTTCATGTTGTTCCTTGTCTTTCTGTTGCAGGACACAATTCATCAGTTGGAAAATGAGCTTAGAGGTACAAAATGGGAAATGGCACGTCATTTGAGGGAATACCAGGATCTCCTCAATGTCAAGATGGCTCTGGATATTGAAATCGCTGCATATAGGTACAGTAGGAACATTGCGGATTCGTCTGGAATATTAATTGCACTGCAGATGCTGCTGGCTCCAACCAGCCTTTGCCATTTAAAAGCTCCAACAGCTTTTGTCATTAGTGAGGCTGATCTTTACTGAACCTAAAACAAATGCAGAAATACCTTCCAACTGAACAAAATATTAGCACTCTTTAAAATCTGTGTAAACCTAAGAATTTATGAAGCCAGACTTAATAATTGATCCTGCTTTTGGGGAAATCGGTGGTTAAACTCCAATGACTTCAAACAGGATAGGGCCATTAGAATGTAGTATCGGAATAGGATAAGCCAGCATTCGATAGCCAAGGACAGCTTCTATTTTGTAATGACTATACTTCAAATATCACAGCTTGAGCTAGTGACACCTGTCATCTTTTTAATGCCCTTTTATTAACTTAGAGCAAGGATTTATTTTTTTAAAGGTTTCAAATAAGGAGTATGGAGCTAAATATTACAAAGTACTTTCAGTTTTCTTAACTTTCTTCCAGTATCAATTTTGAATTGGTCTTGCAGCAGGCATATAGCTTGCTATTGCCATCATCTGGCAGGATTTTTTTTTTTAAGCTTCTTAATGTACCACATAGTAATTTTTGAAAATAAAACATGCAAACAATGACTCCTGGGTTGGAGGTTTATATAAAATGCTTACATTTTCTGCAGTATAAATAAAAACAGCAAAATACACTATTAGCAAGAAAACATCTTCAAATCCCAGTGCCATTCTGTGACTGATAGCCCAGGCACCTTTGTGCCTATGTAAAACCATGTATTTTAGTAGTTTTTGCTCAAATTACCATCATTTAAATCCAGGTAGATTTGTTACAGCAGAGACACTTTTTTCTAAGCTGTATAAAGGATTTGGATGCCTTAATGAAAATGAAAGATCTAAAATCCCTAGTTGGGTGTGAAAGTCTTGGACATATTTAATATTTCTGTGTTATGTAGAGAGGCTCCAGTCTTCAGCTGGACTCCACGGAAGTCAACAGCTTTGCCATGGTCTATACCAACTTAAGTATCTGGCTCATAAATCTGAATTGCAGATTTACAAGACAAAAGCATAAGGATCCTTATGATCAGCAAGTGTTAGAGCTGAAAAAAACACCTGTCTGCTCTATGCAGCCCTTGTATGGCACCGTGAGCCTGATCCAAAGCCTGGTCTGTGGGTCAGTGAAAACCTTCTCACTGACTCCAGCAGGCTTTGCATCAGTCTTTGTAGAAGCAAGAATAACAGATACTTGAATCGTTCTTAGCCTATTCCACATGATATGAAACACTGGTTTATTTCTGTTGAGTGCAGCTGACCCAGAAGCCAGCTCTCTTAGGTGCTCAGTTGTCCTATATACATGCCAATTTTTATTGTCTTTATTTCACTAGGAAACTACTAGAGGGTGAAGAAACAAGATTCAGTGCCTTCGCTGGAAGCATTACTGGGCCCACATTTACACACAGGCAACCATCAGTCACAATATCCTCTACTAAAATACAGAAATCAAAAGCTGAACCACCAAAGCTAAAGGTCCAGCACAAGTTTGTAGAAGAAATCATTGAAGAGACAAAAGTTGAGGATGAAAAGTCAGAAATGGATGATGCCCTGGCAGCCATTGCAGAGGAGCTGGCAGCCAAGCAGGTAGAAGAGAAGGAGGAAGAAAAGGCAGAAGAGGGAGAAGCAGTAGAAGAGGAAATTGTGGCTGAGGAGAAAGCTCCAGTGGAAGCAGCTGCACCTGAAGGTGAAGAAGAAGGCGAGAAGGAGGAAGAAGCAGAGGAGGAGGAAGAAGCTGGAAAATCTGATGAAGCAGAAGAAGGAGGTTCTGAAAAAGAAGAAATAGAGGGTGAGGAAGGTGAGGCAGGAGAAGCTGAGGTTGAGGCGAAGGAAGAGGCAGAGGAGGCTGTAGCAAAAGAGAAGGTGGAGAAAGTGAAAACATCCCCACCAAAGTCACCCCCTAAATCTCCTGTAGCAGAAGCAGCTAAGGAAGAACTGAAGGAAGCAGAAAGAGAAAGTGAAGAGAAAAAAGATGAAAAAGAAGGTGAAGAGGAGGAAGCCAAGGAAGAGGAGAAGGCAGGATCCCCGGAGAAGGCAGGGTCCCCGGAGAAGCCAGCTACGCCAGAGAAGGCAGGGTCCCCGGAGAAGCCAGCTACGCCAGAGAAGGCAGGGTCCCCGGAGAAGCCGGCTACTCCAGAGAAGGCAGGGTCCCCGGACAAGCCAGCTACTCCAGAGAAGCCAGCTACTCCGGACAAGCCAACTACTCCAGAGAAGGCAGGGTCCCCAGAGAAGCCAGCCACTCCAGTGAAAGAAGAACAGTCAGTGGTGGAAGAGACAGTTTCAGTCACAAAGTCAACAAAAGTGAGTGCAGAGAAAGAGTCTAAAGAAGAAAAAGTGAGCAGCAAAGAAGAGGAAAGCGATAAGGTGTCCAAAGGGTCCACAAAAGAAGACATTGCAGTGAATGGAGAGGTAGAAGAGAAAACGGAGGAATTCAAAGAAAAGGAAGTTGAGGAGGAAGATAAGGGAGTGGTCACCAACGGCCTGGATGTGAGCCCAACTGAAGAGAAGAAAGAGAAGGGTGATGAGAAAATTGTGGTAACAAAAAAGGTAGAGAAAATCACTAGTGAAGGTGGAGATGGCACAACCAAATACATTACAAAGTCTGTGACAGTCACCCAGAAGGTGGAGGAACATGAAGAAACCTTTGAGGAGAAATTGGTGTCCACTAAGAAGGTAGAGAAAGTCACTTCACATGCCGTAGTAAAAGAAGTAAAAGGGGGTGACTAAAAGTAATAGTTAAAAAAAAATTAAAAGAGCTTAGGTCGGTGCAAAAGGTTAAGCCATATGACAGCTGCAAAATGCATGCGAGTGACGGCTTTAAAGCAGAATGGGTTCTCTCATGGAGGCTCCAGACACACTTATTTAATTTTTTTTTTCTTCTTTCTTTCTCTTTTTTTATTTTATTTTTTTTATTTTTTTGTGCAATACTTGGGGGAGGGTGGGAATGCATGCAAGTTCGAGATGTGCTCCCTCCACAGAACTTGGGGAATTAAAACAAAACAAAAGAAAAAAAAATGAATGCATGAGATGAAATGTCCAAAGAAACTCTTGAATTTCCTGAGCTGTCAGAGGGACACATCTAAGGAACATCTTAAGATGTATTATGCAAAGAACCAACTGAGCCAAAAACAAATAATAACAACAACAACAATAATAATAATAATAATAATTATGAAATAATGGTGGCTCTCCTAGCCTTAAAAAAGCTACTTATTAATAATTATGTTTACCTCACTGGTGCAATTAAGATGGACTTTTGTTCATGGGAGAACCTAGTTGACATGCACAGTATACAACCTTTTGTTGTTCGATGTAAAACCGTCACAGCAGTTCTTGCTCAATAAAGGTCAATACTGGAAATGTGCCTTGTTTGTGGTGCTTTCTCTGGAACTTTCCCCAGGTTATATAAATTTATTTATTATTACTTATAGACTAGCTTTGATTTACCCTCTTTTTTTTTTGGTGGGGGGGGCTCTTTTTTCATTTCCCCAAAAAAGGACATCCCCTAAAAAAAACAAACAAACAAACAAAAAAAACAGCCACATGGTATCAGTTTTCAAATGCACTAATTATCTGCAACTCTACAGAAATGAAAGTTTAGATTTAAATTATCTTGAGCTTTGTGAAGCAGATACTTAAGAGCCTGGTCCACTGCCCATTGGGACAGAGGGGAATATTTGAACTAAATTCATTGGGTGTTAGTTTAGACCTTGGATGCTTATAAAGAGGTTTGGATTGGCACCTCTGCAAAGTCAAGTTTTCTTTTGGGATCATATGTGGTCCTGTTCACCCTACAGGCAGGGCTACCTCTAACCTGTAAGGGTTAGAAAAGTGTGTCCAGGATACATTCAGTCTTTGGCTTCTTTGTGGATCTGCTTTCTGATATGGGCACTAATCCATCAGTAAGGGCACTGAGACCCATCAGTCCATGTCACAAAAAGACATCAACTACATTGTCTTTAAAGAGTTTTGATGGTTACTGATCTTGCCATGATACCCAGAAATAGATATTCTCTTCCCTACCCTGTATACTTGAGACACTTTATTGTCCATGTTAAACTCAGTCACAAAATTCATCATAGCAAATAAAGTCTTGGAAAAAGTAAGTTATTCTAAAAAGAATACTGGCACTAAATAAAATTGCAGAATTTTGGATAGTTGTTCTTTAAAAAAAAAAAAAAATTTTTTTTAAAACAGTCATACCAATGAGGGCATTCCAGTGACAAGATCCCAAACTTGCAGAGCGCATGCCTGGCCACTTCTGGCAGCTCTGCATGACTACACTTAGTAGCTGTGCAGCCAGAGTACAAAATACACCCTGGGAAGGCACCAACTGTTGAATGGACCATGGCAGCCAGCAAAAAGAGAATTATCTTGAACGGTCTGCTAGTCTCTGGGCAGCAACAAGTAGCCTTGCTTAGCAGAGCTGAAATATCTGCAAGCAGAATGGAGGCTTCTGCTGTTGCAGAAAGGCTTTGAGTGCACTCCTTTTGTCAGTAGAACTGGAGTTCTGTTGGCAAAACATGGTGGTGCAGACTAGGCATTGGAGAGGCATTGCCTCCTGACTTCCACTCTGTAGGCAATAAAGGTTATAGTACACAGTCAAAGGAAAGGGGAAAAGCAATAGAAGTGGGGCCTGATTCCCCTGTGCCTTGTCCCTTGTATTATATTTTAGAAGGGAGCAAAAGATGCTGTCAATTCTTATTTGATAGAGTTTAACACCTACTTTATATACATCTGAGATTATTAGCAGAGCAGCTAAATTACTATGCAAGATTCTAAGCAGTAGAGAATCGAGCCCTATACCTATTAAGACCTCTGTGTCATTGAACTCAATGTCTCACCAGACTCCACAAACTGAGGCTCTGACCTAATAAGCCCATTGCTAATTTTATATATAATTACATATACCATGTATTTTGTTCCATCCATATCTTTGTGGGACTACAAATAAAAGAGACCATTTGCCAAGTTACTATTACCTTAATCTCAGTTAAAGAGAAGTGTGAAACTGCCACCAATGAAAAAAGTTACAAATATTTTTTTTCACAACTGCCTGAATTCAGAGTGATGAGAAGAACCCTGGATACCACTGGCTGCTTATAGCACTGACCAGAAACCTGTGCTTTCCATATGTTTTCTAGTGGGCATTATTTTTTGCTCTATTAATAACTAACATTCAAATAGTGGTTTAATTCAACTAGGCTGTGTGCATTCCTAGATTAAAGAAGTGTTAAATACTCAAAGTGGAGAAAGCCTTTCAAATAAATCTAAATCCCTTTGTGTAATGAAATAATGAATGTTTCTCCTGCTGTTATCATTAATGGAATCTGTGCTCAACAGACTGCTGGCTGGCTGACATTTAATTAAAGTAAAAAGTTATCAAATTAAATGATAGCTATTCAGTAGATGGATTATTCATAAAAGTTACATACATGCATAAATATGTAAAACTGCACTTATGAATAAGATGTTGACTAACTGAGCCATGTAAATCTGTTCTCTAAGCCAAAATGAATTAACGAAAAATGGTGTACAGCCCTACATATCTGCCATTAAAGAGAATGGTGAAACTCTGCATAGGCTACATGATCTGTCGTGATCAGCACCTCATCAAAGCAGCTTTTCACCTGGAACTTTTATTGATATAGAAGGGAACTGAGGGTACTGAGCAGCTTACTTCATCAACCATCCAGCATTGACAGCACTAGTTTCAAACTGAATCGAAATGTCATTTGTATCTATCATCCCCTGACACAGGCTGAGGTTATATTTCATCTGTGCCATTTTACTCATTATGATACATACTATCTTTTATGTATGCTCTAAACCTACAAGTAATTTTTGACTCTGTAGTTGCTTGAATGAAAATGTAGGGTATTATAATAAATTACAGTATCTGACTGAGTTGTATACAACTGAGTGGCCATTTGGCATTTTGAGTTTTCTTCTGTTCCCTTTTGCAGTTCTGTAAGAGCTGTTGCCTTCCATCTCTAGTCCTTCAGCTTTATGACAAACTCTCTGCAAAAAATAGTAAGTAAAAAATGACCAGTAAATCAAATAAAACTACCTCTAAGTGCTACATATATTAATAAAATAAGGCCCAGACCCTGCAAGGTCTGTGCATACTGTAAATAATTTCACTGAAGTTAATAGGACTACTCACAAAAGGTATCATTTAGCAGCAGTCAAGGCCTGTGTAGTCTTCGTAAGATGAGTTGAAAAGGTTGAACTTACGCCATGAATTAGACGTTGAGCTGTGCAAGGAAGTTGTGGTACAGTTCATTTCCATGTAATTGCTCAAGTTTAGGTTGGATCAGAAACTGATTTGCTCTTTACTGCCTCAGACCTTCTTGCATGATTGTTATATCATGTAGAGATAAAAACCCACATCATACTTATAGGCCCAGAAGTGCTACACTCGTTGACACCATGTCCGAAAGAGACTTGAGGTTATGATTGATCACAAGATGAACATGAGCCACTAATGCAATGCCGCAGCTGCCAAAGCAAATAAAACTCTGGCTTGCATCTCCCGATGCATTTCAAGCAAGACCAAAGAAATCATCTTCCCATTCCAGGTGTGGCCTTGGTGAGGCCGCACCTGGAGTACTACATCCACTTCTGGGCTCCACGCATTAGAAAAGATGTGGAGAAGCTTGAGAGAGTCCAGAGGAGAGCCACACGTATAATTAGAGGTCAGGAGAACAGGCCTTATAAGGAGAGACAGAGAGGCATGGGACTTTTCAGCCTGAAGTAGCAAAGGCTCAGGGGTGACTTGGTGGCAGCCTATAAGTACATAAGGGGTGTGCATCAGGAACTGGGAGAATGTCTGTTCACCAGGGCACCTCAAGGGAAGACAAGGTCTAATGGTCACAAACTGCTGGAAGACCATTTTAGACTGGACATAAGGAAAAACTTCTTTACTGTCTGAGTCTCCAGGGTCTGGAATAGACTCCACCCAGAAGTGGTGCAAGCATCTACTTTGGATACCTTCAAGAAACACCTGGATGCTTATCTTGCTGGGGTCATCTGACCCCAGCTGACTTCCTGCCCCTCAGGCAGGGGGCTGGACTTGATGATCTCGCAAGGTCCCTTCCAGCCCTAATGTCTATGAAATCTATGACATCTATTAAATAAACCTGGAGTAGCATTATGGTAGGTTGTATATATTATGGTTGCAATCAGAGGCCCCAGCTGAGAGTCCCAATATGGAAGATGTTATACAGAAGCTTACTCTTTATGTTGTTTTGCTTTTATAAATGTTTTGATCAGGAGCGTGAAAAAGTCATACACCTAAACAACATGATTATGCTGACAAACACCCTAAGGTAGGGTTTTATAGAGCAGATAAAAGAGAAACCATTATAATCTCCATTTTATAGATGGAGAAGTGAGACATTAAGTCAGTTGCCCAAGAAAGACTGATTGGAATTAAATCTAGATCTCCCAAATTTTGATTCTGGACTTTAGCTATAATAGGGTGTGTCCCCACAAGCAAGAACATGTTTCCCCAGGAATAAGTAACAGCGACACACCTTGTGCCTTTTCTACTTGTCCCCAGGGAATGTTCATGCCACACACACTCGGGTGGGGTGCCATGAGCCATGGGTGGGGTAGGGGAGGCTGGGGCCAGCAACTGTGCTGGTCCCACCAGTCTTACCTGGGATCCTGGGGCTTTTGGGAGCTGCAGCTGGAGTGCTCCTGGCTGGCACCTGGAGTGTGACTCCAGCCAGCCAGGCTCCAGTTTTGGGCCACGTCCATTGCTACCATGTGTGCTGCCCCACTTTTGTTAGGCCTGAGTTTTTTTGACCCTGGGATTTCCTGGGGTCAAAAAAAAAACCCCATGCTACAAAGTAGCAGCATGGGGAATGCCTACTTGTGTTGTGTGTGCAACATGTGGTGCCACAGACAAGTCGGCAGTACCACATTCCTCGCGTCCGTGCTCATGGATGCGCCCATAGAGTGTTTCTCAAAATCTCTGAGAAGCCACAAATTAGGATTTGAAAAATTGTGTAAAAGTAGCGTAGTTCATTCAGACTGCAAGACAGAAAGCAATCTGGATGAAGGTTCCCTCATACTAATTTGTGTTGTGACATTGCCTAGAGGTCAGGGTCCTATGAGGCACTGCACATATAACAAAGAGACAGTCCTGCTCCCAAAGAACTTAAAGTCTAAGTCAGTGGTCCTTATCTCACTACAGTTCATACCTAGATAGATAGATATGCACAAAATTCACCTATATAAACACATTTTATCTATATAGCAGCATCTGCACTAGGTGACTATACCAATCTGACTAATGGTGCCAAACTGAATAAGTTAAACAGGCAAAACATATATACTATAGACAATAGATCAAAACAACAAATGGATGTGGGAGGGCCAAAGAGACTATAAGAATATATATACTTCATGGTATGGGTCTGAATGGCAAGGAAAGCAAAGTTCATAGGCTACCCAATGTCTAATCTCTGTACGGGATTTTTTTATATTATCAACTCTTTAAAAAAAAGGTGTCTTTGATTTGTGGTCTGTAAAATCTAATGTATGCAAAATGTTAGTAAATTCAGTCTATTTCCTAAAGTAAATGTTTCATCTGATCCTTATGAATCATTCAAAAGAAACACTATTAGGAGATATAGGCAATGGAATAACAAACATTTTTAAATGTTTATAATACTCTAAGAATGGATAAATATTTAATTTTTGCCATGAGGTTTTGTCTGTTGAAATCTGGTATCAAAGGCAGTTTGATAAGTCACATTCATTTCAGTATGCAGAAGCATAAACCCCATTCCATTTGTACTATTTCATTGGTGTCAGTTCTTACAAATCAGCATAACTGCTAAAGGGATTAATTACTTTGGACCCCTAGAGAAGTTTATGAATCAATTGGAAAGCTTCTGTGAAAGACAAGTATTAAAGAAAAAAAGTTGGAAGTTCCTTGTGACAGTTACATGCGTGCTAATTTAAAGACAGACAGACACTAGAGTGCTCCTCTTGGTGTAACTGCTTATTGTAGGGATCATCTGATCTGCCTATGCAGAAACCCAGCAAGAATCCCAAAGCCTACAGGGGGCTGTGGATCAGGCCCTAAATTAATCATTATTAAAGGAGGCCATTAAACCAGCACTTCAGATAAGGGACAAGATGGGGGAGAGGAGGAAGGGAGGGCTGATTGGAAGGAACCTCATCCTCATCCAAACTCCTCTTACAAACTGCTTATTCAGACACAGCTTACGTTTTCCAGAACTAGAAGACAACAAAAATGCTGCTTATTTAAAAAGCTAACTGCAGTGTTTCACAGGACATATAAAGGGGTCTGTCTTCCCTGTCTGTGCTCCACCTTGTCCTAAATAGCTGGGTCAGCCTATTTTTCACATCTCTGGGGGCAGCCCTGCCCCTGCAGGTCGGTATGATACTAATATGAAAAATATCAAATAATACATTAACGCAGCGAATAATGAAGCGAAACCATTGGTTAATTAAATATCCATGCCTAGACCTGCACCATTAGATCTGCCCTGCAATTTGCCCTTCCAAATAAGGGAGAAAAGGTGACCGATTAAAGAAAAAAAACCAATTTGCATCATTTGCATTTTGCAGAGAATCAGAAGCTGTGGCAGAGATGACCAAGGTACCCTGAAAGCAAGGCAGCACCAGGAGATAGCAAGTCTGCCGGCTGTCCAAACCACTGCCCAGATACAAGTGAGTAAAGGAAAAGTTTTCTTGCATTCTTCCTCTCCCTGCCTCTCACTCCAGGCTTACTGCATTGCGTCAAAACGAGCTCCCGGAGTTATAAATATGAGACAAGTCTTTTGAGCAGAATAACTAGGCACCCTAGAGTGTGTTTCAGCTCCCACACACAGCACACGCAGATCACCCCATCCCTTCTGACCAGCACGGCAGAACTCCACATAGCGGGCAAGGCTGAGCAATCTCTGCAGTGCATTGCTCTCTGCAGTATATTTCCCTTGCTGTTTCTTGCCTATTTCCTACAAGGTGAATTGAGCCCATGGGGTGGGGGAGTGGATTTCAGCTCTAGCAGTTAGGAAGAAGGTCTGGGAACCGGGGTGAATGTGGCAGTGTATAAAGAAAAAAAAAATCATTCTTTGATCTTGATTTGTGCATACATAGGAGGTTGCTCTTAACTCAGACTGGGAGGGTTTGGAAAGATGTGGGAAGGCTGAAGAATAACTGTTTAAACTAATCATCAGGCAGAGACAACTGACCCAGAAAAGGAATCATCCCTGGAAAAGTGTGAGTGCAGGGAGCAGTCACTGAAGGTAAAAACATTAGGGGTGCCCGCCCTTCTGCAGGTATCAACTCCAGGGGGTTGTGGCAAACCGGACTGTTTTGCAGTTTCACTCTAATGCCTTGGTTGGATCGATCACTGGACCTTAGTGCCCTACTGCAGTTGCAGCTGTGTAGGCAGTTTTTAAACGGGGCACTATAAACTGAACAGCAACATTGGCCATTATGCTGCTGCAGTGAAATGTTGCTTTGGTGGCCAGAGGTAAAAGGCACAAGAAGTATTGGCTCGCCTGAATGTCTCCTTTCTGATCAATAGCAGGGGAGGTGCAGGGGGAGCAGGTGGAAAAAGGAGCAGGGTAAAACAGCTTGGCTTGTGAATTTCTTGTCCTTTGTACCAGAGCTGTCATGTGTCACCACTTTGTGCTTCAGTGGGGAAGGAGAGGGCTGTGCTGTAGAATAACAGGACTATACAGAAGTATATAATAAGTATGTAATGTGTGTGAATGAGCAGAACTGAAAACATTTAGGAAGCTGTTCTCCTGTCAATAAAACTGTTTACATGGAAAAGCAAAGCCTTCAGCTGTGAAGGTTCACCTGCACTAGCAGAAGCAGGCAAAATTAGGGAAAGTTAGCACTTGGAACAGTCCTGCAGAGCTCCCTGCACAGCAAATACCGCAGTGACTATTTCAGTGTGAAAACAGTCTGTTTCTTGAAGACTTGCTAATCTCACTTTCCCCTTTTTCCATTTTGCTTTCCAAAAGATTCAGAAGGGCAGCTCTTTTAAGTGCTGTTACCACCAGCCCTCCTTTTCCCAACCCTGTTCTCATCAGTGTGTGCAAAGATACTTGGAAGGTGCTGAAAGAGTGAAATACTCCAAGCCCCCTGAATAGGAGGACGAGAACCCACTCTTGTAAAATGCTGTCTCCAGCTTATTTCTTCCTGTCTCTGTGACTATGTCTGTCTAGGGACTTTCAGGAAAGCTTGAATGAATCAACTGAAGTCAATAGGCATAATTTAAGGCATATTAAAGCCTCTGTGTGCTTTCACTCAGGAGTAAAGTGGCTTTAATTCACTGTAGCTTAATTGATCTTTAGATTGATCTAACTAAACCCTGGACAGCAATGCATTTAAAAGAGCTTAGCCCTACTTAAACTTATTCACCTGAACTTGGAAATGTATCTAAATATGACAGATATACCAGTGGTATAGACGTATGCTAGCTTTCTGGGCAAGAACTTCATCCTCTCCCTTATGCACTAGCTTTAGGGATGCCACATTCTGAAAATTAATAAGGTCAAAACAAGAGAATGAGATGCTTCTCCTGCTTTCAGACTTGCTGTCTGATTTTACTACTCCCCTGGCCTCTGAAGTTGCTCCAGTTTTCTGCCTGCTCAGTGATTTGATCTCTTATAGTTTTAGGCTGATTTTGGATACCTAAAAGGCACTGGCAGGCTTGCAGTACAAAGTGAGTCTCGTAGGTGCATGACATGTAGATTGCTTAGTTGAAGTGCTGTGGTAATTCAGGTTACATTCAAATACCAAAGTTATCACTTTTTTCTGTTATTTTCCTCAGCTTCCTGGTAATGAAACATAGCTTTGATTGCTTTTATTAAGAGCCAGCTTCAAGGCCCATTGAAGTAAAGGGGAATTTTTCCTCATTGTTATCACTGTGCATGAGCCCAGGTGCTGCATAAAAATAAATATTTAAATGAATTCTATATAAGAGCCATGTTTGCACTGTAATATATTTCCCCACTTGTCCATATTAGATTCTGTCATATACTGGCATTCACCTAAACCTTGACTCTTATACCAATATGTTTACATGTAGCAGCTATATTTAAATGTGAATGTGCAATATCAATATTAAAAACTTCCAGAAGGGTAAACTGCAGTGCCAGTCACATAAATTATATGCAGTGGCACCACTGTGTCTGAGTGGAGTCGCACTGACTTCAAAGGACTTCCACATGGGACTAGCTCACGTGTTATATTTTATATGATTGGGACCCCCGTCCCTTCCCCCACCCAGTTATTTCCTTTATTATTTAGTTCAGTGGAGATGATGACATTTTGAGTGGTTTGACATCACAAAAGTACCAGCTGGAGTGGAATATCTGCCAGTATTACATTTCCTGCTGTGTAGGATGGGAATATCAGTTTTCTGTTGCAATTCCGTGCATAACTTAATTTCACTCTATCAATCCTTTATAAATGTATTTAATAACATATGACACAACTACAAGAAAACTGTAGATGCAGTTCTGTAACTTTATTGACTAGCTGTATTGCACATACTTATTGAAGCCTTCATTAGTTAAACCACCCAAGGTTTCCATAAATATTTTAAGTGTAAATGAATTCTTACCCTGTGACTTGATTTTTTTTAAGGTTGTTAATCCCCCAGACTGACCATAATTCCCACACTCAGACACATACGCCATGCGTATTCTGGTAGCAAGCCAGCAGGGCACTCTGCAAGCATGCTGATACTTTGCATAGACAGAAACATCATAGAACATTAACTTTAAACCTTAGTGGTCTCTGAATTAAATATGTGGTGCAGCAATTTTAGCTAAGTCAATTATGGGTTGTACTGTTGACCTAATTGGGAAACCTACACACAGTCTAAATCAATCCTTCTTCTTCTCTTCACTCTCTTCCTCTCCTGCCACCTCTTCTTCCTTCTCTCCCTCACCAGCTTCCTTGGATTCCTCTCCTTCTTCTGCTGCTTCTTCCCCTTCTCCTCCTTCCTCTTCTTCACCCTCTTTGGCTTCTTCAGCTTCCTCTTTGGCACCTTTGAAAAGAACGGAGCATTTTACCTCTTATATGTAGCACTGCAGAGCCAGGTCCCAGTCCTACTCCCAGTAAAGTCAATGTCAAGGTCCACCATTCACTCTAATGGAAGCACAAATGGACTTGGTTTGCAGAAATCAATAGAGAGAATTAAGCTATGACATATTGGGTAAAGTGGGGATTTTCAAAAGATACTTTGAGAGTTATGCACCCAATTCATACTGAATTGCAAAAGCAGGAAAGTATCAAATTCCCTTCCACTCGTTGGAAAATGTTGACCTTTAACAAGTGATTGACAACCCATTGTTTTAAGCCCAGATCCAAGACCCATTCAAGTCAATGACAATCTTTCCACTGATTTCTATGAATTTTGGATCAAGCTTTTAATGCAGTTCCTGCTCTGTCACCATCTAGTTACAGATGAGCTTTTGGGTTGTGGCTCCTATTAAAATATTTAAAATGGAAACAAACTGGCAATCAATATTTAGTTGAGACTGTTCCCATTTCTTCCAGTTATGTTTCTTGCCATGGAGTCTATCAAGAGACCTTTTTGCAAGCATAACCAGTTGGCAGTCAACTGGAAAACTCCCACTGATTTCTAGGAGGGCGGAATTGATCCCCTGATGCACTGAACATTCAATATTGATCTGATCTTGCCCTTTCTTATAGCCAGTTTTTACCTGCAGACATCAGTCCAGCAATCCCTTACTCATATTAAGAGTCTCATTTAAATCAAGGAGTCTATTCACATGAGTTATTCACAAAATATTTATATTAATGAAAACTGGTGGGCTTGGGTACTGTTCATGAGTGGGGAAGAATTCTGCAAAAGCATGATGTGAAAAATAACTCAAATATACCTTCTTCTTCTTCAGCTTCTTCACCTCCTGCTTCTTCCTCACCTTCCTCTTCAGCACCTTCTCCTTCTGCAGGGGGTGCCCCTTTGGCTTCTTCCATTTTAGCTGCTTCAATAGTTTCCTCTACTTCTATCTGTTCTTCTTGAACATGACTAGAGTAGTAAGTGGGGAAGGTACGAGATGTCATCAAGTAGGAGCTGCTCTGTAAACCACTGAAGGCAGACCTGCCAAAGGTTGGGACAGCCTGTGTGTAGCCACTGGTTATGCTTCCAACACTGGTGAAACTGAGTCGGGTTTCTTCACCTTCCAACAATTTCCTGGAAGAGCCAAAAAAGCAGAAATAGATTTACTTGCATTGTAGGCAGCGACTAGGAACCCAAGTCATGTGCCAGTGCCATGCAGTGGTAGATGCAGTACAAATATAGAATAAGACTCAAAGGGTGCAGGCCTACATGTACACACCCTTAATGCACCTTAAAATGGCAATTTTAGGAAATTTGTACCTAAATTTGATGCCTGCAAAAGCAGGTATCAAATTTATGCGCGAATAGCTAAAGCACCTTAACGCACATGTAGATGCGCTAAGGCGCATTAATGTTGTGCATGTCCACTGACTTGGGACTAACTTTAGTCCCAAACTGGTCCACACACTGCGTTAATGCATTTCAGCATGTGCATGTGTAGACGCACACCTAAGTCAGTTTTATGTGCATTAGGCAAACAAGCATTAAGTTAAATTTTGGCATGCATAAGAACATGTGTAGACACACCCAAAGAGATGACAGTCTTCCAGATAACAAAAATATTATTCCATATTTAACTGCCTTGTATTTACACAGTGATCCAAAAAAGAGACTGGATGTCAATTTGTCTCACTTCAGAGGACAGAAACTAGGCAGTTACATGCATCTGTGAACCAAAAGGTCCACCTAGAAGATGGCTGGAAACAAATCAGCTCTAGAATATAATTATAGCTGCAGGTGAAGACATGGATATATTTTAGTGTTCTTTAGGACACCCAATAATTTGAGCTGATGCTTTTGTTTATGGGAATCTAAATATAGTATGTCAAGGGGCTTTATGCTACAAATCTATCCTCCGTCCTCAATTTTCTGCTATGGACAGTCAAAATCCTTTCTTTGCCTTTACAGAAAGCCAGGACCAAATATAAAACAATTACAGGGGACTAAGTCTGCTGTAAAATACTGATTTACAGGTGAGACCTTCAAAAGCACTTCAGAGATTTTCAGAGGGATTTAGTTACTCATGGGGCTTAAAACTACTGCCAGGTATGACAAATAAAATATAACTTCACCAGGTAAAAAGAAAAGGAAGCCTGATCTTGTTTCTGATTTGCTGGACAATTTCTCCATCGTACCTGTATGCTGCAATTTCAATGTCCAGAGCCATTTTCACATTGAGAAGATCTTGGTATTCTTTCAAATACCGGGCCATTTCACTCTTTGTGGTTCTCAGTTCATTTTCTAATTTGTTAATTGTATCCTGTTGGGAATAAAAATATTCAGAAGCATAACATCTTTTATTTTTGTAGATAGAAGAGATGCCTTTCAAGATACTGCGTCACCCTGTCAATTAAATTCTGCTTTATCAGAGAGATGATTCAATCCTGATTTTATTCAAGTCCAATCCTGGATTCAGTCCTGACTTTACTGGACCCAATCTGGGCTTTATTGAAGGACTCTATTACCCAGTAGCATCTTTCCACTTCTAATAACCATTATTCTATTTCATTAACTATTTTAAAGACTCAGGATAGTCTGATCTTTCATTATTTCCCCCCAAATAAGTGCAGTTTTATATAATCCCATCAATTAAAAACAAGCTTACTTGGGGTCAAATGCAAGTTACATTTTTAAATGTACCATTTTGCTTTTAACATTTTCGTTTTTCTTCAATGCCTGAAGTTTCATCTGAATAAACACTTTGGGCCAAATCTTCCAGTGATGCAAATCTGCATACCTCATCAAGGAATCTATGCATGATGTATCTATGTACATGAGCTAGACCATTAGATTTTGTACCTAGTTTCTGCATTTGCGAATGTTATCTACTTCATTTCCATCACTTTACATTATAGATATATTGGATTCTTTGTGATTTGAGATGAATCAGTTGTTGATATTGTAGTTCCTGGGCTGGGGGGTGGGGGAAGGAAAAATTAACTTCATGATATTTCACTTTACTGATATTTTACCACATTCTACACTGCTTACCGAGGCAAACTCTTGATGAACTTCACCCAGGACTTTTACTTAAGTGCCACAAGAACTGGCACATAGACAGAAGAGATCTGTGGAGATTTATGTATTCTTTTAACAGACGCTCCCTTAATTTGTAATCCTTTATTCTCTTTACCCAGTTTGTGTCTTCAGGCATTATTTTATTAAATCCAATCCTTTTAAGTAATTAATATAACCTAAGAAACATTAGATCCAACGTCACCTTTTCAGCTTTTATTAGTTATAATATGATATTAATTAATAATAAAACCCAATGCATTTTTTTCATATTAATATACCTATAGCCTCCTGTTCATCAAGACAACTAGAGGACATGTCTTAACAGATGCAATAATATTTAACTCTATGTAATTAGTCCTGTATTAAACATGCTTTTTCCCTCAAGGGCAGCTCATTTAATTTTATTCAGGTTCTTAGGACTGCTAAAAATCATTGTCATTAATGGTGCCATCTTAATTGCTAAGCTTTCCAGCAGGTGAAGCTGCACGGGGCAGGCTCCCTAATGCAATGACTCCCTAATGACTCCCTTCAGTATGGCTGCAGACACAAGCTGCAGGGACACTTTGCCTTTGCAGAGCAGGACTGTCTGCACCGCCATTTAGGTGCAGGCTTTCAACACTTCTTTTTCTTTTATATTCATGTCCCCACTTTTCCTTTCAATTTCCCCATTCACATTTTAAACCTGTTGCTTTTGAAGTGGAGGACACAGAGGTCATTAGCCACTCCCTGCCTTTGTGGGGAGGCTTCAGGGACAGCTCTGCCTGGGGCAAGAGGGTGGTGGGGTGGCTGTCTAAAAAGCCCCTGATCTCAGAACTTGGGATCTCTTGAGCATCTACTGACAATATTTCACAGAAGTTGGCTGCAGTGGTTCCCCTGCTTCTCCTGTGGCAGGTTAGGATGCTAGGTCTATGTTGTGTCAGGGCTGACTGTTATTTGGCTAAGAGGTTAGATTGTGTATAGGATGAGCTGGATAGATATGATCCTGGCTCAGGCAGGGGGTTGGACAAAATGAACTCTGAACAGCCCTTGCAGCCCCACATCTCTCTGACTACAGACTCAGCTACAGGTGCAAGATAACAACCAGCTCTAAAATTAGTACACATTTTCCAGGTCTAACCTTAGAGCTGGTGGGAGCTTTTTATGGTGTGAGATGAGTACTTTGCCTGGTGTAGCTGGTCTCAAGGTAACCATCTGGTCTTAACACAATACCTGTAATGTAGAGGGGGCCTAGGAAGATACGGGGAGAGGTTTCCTGCCAGGGCCAGCTCAGAAGGCTGGATGTAACTGCTCCCGTCCGGACTTGAGAGAAAAGTGCCTTGTTACCCT